GTAATATGCATATAAACAGCCTTTTAATTAGCAGAGTAGAATAATCATGGCTGATAGTAAGACATGCAAACATAAAAGAAAACCAAACTGGTCGCGAGAACAGCGATATATTAAGGATATAATAAAAAATTTGGAGTTGGGATAAACTCCAAACCAAAGCCGATACCTTTTTAAAAGCTCATTATGGTCAAATGTTTCTAAAGTGTTTATATTCCGAGGTAGATTGCTGGCAACAGCCATTTTATGATAGTTCAGATTTAGTCTTAGTGATTTAGGAGTCCTCTTCACTACTCCTAACGTTTCACAGATTTAGGAGCTAATTTTAGCGCTAAAACGCTTTGTGAAACACTCGTAGAACAAAAATGTAGTCCCATTTTTAAGATTTTCTGCTAAATCGGTGAGTTATGAGCTACTTTTAGCTTTAAAGGGGTCATATGATGCTGCTAAAAAGAACATTATTTTGTGTATTTGGTGTAATGAAATGTGTTTATGGTTAAGGTTCAAAAAACACATTTTCCACATACTGTACATTATTGTTTCTCCTCTATGCCCCGCCTTTCTGAAACGCGTCAATTTTTACAAAGCTCATCGGTCTGAAAAAGCAAGGTGTGCTCTGATTGGCCAGCTATCCAGTGCATTGAGATTGGCCGAATTCCTCAAGCGTGTGACGGAAATGTTATGCCCCTTACCATACTGTGATGCCTGCAGCAACCACATGTGACGACACCGGGCTGGACTCCGCTTCGTCCACGGTGAAAGCTGGCATGACGAAGCGATATCATCCTCTTTTGGAAGACCAAACAAAGTAGTTTCGCTTTCACAACGAAGCACACAGCGTCTTCACGACATGGCGGAGGCGGCAACAATACTACAGCAAGAATAAAAGTTACGCCTTCTTTCTTTGCGTGAACATTTGGGCGGCGTTATGCAAATCTTCCCACATAGTGAGGTAGACATGTGGGGGCGTGTTAGAACGAGCCGTTTTAGGTATGCATGGTTAACTCTTAACTCTTTGTATCTCTTTGGATTTGAGACTTTAGTCTTTGCAACTTTACAGATCTTCTTTATGCACCAAGAGCTTGTAACACTCCAAAGAGAAAGGAAAAATTGAAATCGCATCATATGACCCCTTTAAAATGTTTTGTGAATACTGGCCCTGTTCTACAAAACCAAAGGACAAAAATCAAGAAAGACCCTCACTTTCGTAACACTTAAAGACAGCATGTAATCGAAATTGACTTTATATATGACTTAACATCCCTGGTCCTTTCATTATTTCCATTTGAATATTGTGTTTTACTCTAAAATGCATTGCAAAGTTGTTGTGTTTTTTCCCAAGAATTTTAGCCATTTTTCTTTTGTAATAACCAAGCTGCAGTGCTGACAGCACTATTATTAGTTGACTTTCGGCCTGATCTCATTGCTAGTCGTTTCAGTCAGTAGCTAAATGATAACTGGTGTCATTCTTTCTCTGACCCTCCTTCCCTCACTGTCTCCTCCATCAGTTGGATCAGATAGATGTTGTTTTCGCCTCTGAAGCAGATGACAAAGTAAAGGAGGACTGTTGCCCTGGGAAACCGCTCTGTGTCTTCAGATCTGAGGTGATGATGAGAGTCCACTGTCTATTGTTTCTGTTTTGTTAATGGTTGATCTGGCCTGTGCTGCATGCAGCTAGAGACAACCTAATTTTAGAAGCACGCCGTGCATTTCTAATGCGTCTTCAATGCATCTCACTATGGTGTAGTGTACGGCGTTCATTCAGACATAAACATGTTTTCTGAATTATTGCCAGGCTTTTGCAAATATATTTGAAATATGATAATACATATTTTATACAGGATTTGATATGCAGTGTTCCCATATTCAAGGATAAAACCTAGAAATAATAAATCATTTTAAAATTGTGATATCCAGACCAGAAAAATTCGCTTTAATAGATTAGAATTTTTTTTTATAGTAAGTTGTGTTTAAGCTGAAAACGTTTGTATTGCTTAATCGTTTTTTTTTAAATCCATGATTAATAAAAAGTAAAAAAAAAGTAATTTTAACTTTATAAATGACCACTTTTGACCAATTTAATGAAGTGTGAAGTGACATGGCCACTTGCTCCCTTGCTGAATACAATTTTTTTTCCCTACTTATCTATTGCTTACTCCATACTTACCATACACTTTTGAATGGTAGTGTATCACAGTTTCTGTAACTGTTTTCAACATTAATAATAATAATAAATGTTTCTTGAGCACAAAATCAGCACATTAGAATGTTTTCTGAAGGATCATGTGACACTGAAGACTGGAGTATTTTAGCATACTTTATAATGTCATTTATTCCTGTGATCTGTGATGCAAAGCTGAATTTTGTGTTGATTGTTGATGTTAAAATATTTTGTAGAAACTGATACTTTTTTTTTCGTCAGGATTCTTTGATGAGTTGAAAGTTCAGAATATCAGAATTGATAAAAATAGCATTTATTTTGTAACAATGTAAAATACTCTTACTTTTGATCATATCAAATATATATATATATATATATATATATATATATATATGAACACTTAATAAATTGATTGCAGTAAAATGATATCACACACACACACATATAATATCTAATCATGGACCACTGAAAATATATTGGTCAAATGGTTTTTGGAATCCTGTGTATGAGACAGAAAATGACATTTAACCCATGTCACATGATCTGTATGATGTAGCATCCATAAATGTGTCATCTTCAGCTGTGACCTCTGTTTCTCCCGTAGCCTGGAGTGTTAGTCTCACTGGTGAACCCTCAGCCAGCCAACGGTCTGTTCTCCACCAAGATTGACATCCGACAGCAAAGACAGCATCATCCGCAGACTATCCCGAGTCAACAGAGGCATCAAGGGTAAAGCTGATTTCAATGTAGCCAAGTTGAAATTGTTACAAGGTTTTCACTAAACTATATATATATATATATATATAAAGATATTTAATTCAAGGCACTAAGCTAAAAAAAATTAATTGATGCCACAGCATGCTACATTACTGTTAATGTTGTCATTTTTAAATAACGATGTAAAATTTGTAGATTTATCCAAAGTGCAGCTGATGCGTTTTGAGGACCCACTGCTCGGGCCTCGGAGAATCCCAGTTCTGGGGAAGGAAGAGGAGGGTAAGCTCCCCATCTCAAACAGTTCCGTTTTCCACATCAACCTGCAAGAAAACAACGTTCATATGAGTGATAACGGCCTGAAAATGGACATCGGGGACACTTTAATCTACCTGGTCCAGTGATATCAGAGACTCTGTTGTTACAAGGGTGTTTTGTTTTCTCATTTGAATATCATCTTGACATAATCTGCAAACAGTATTGTTTATGTCGACTGCTGAGGCGCTTGTTAATTTAGCATTAGCTGGCATTCAGTCTCAGTGCATCTAGTGAACTCCTCTCTCAGCATTTGGTACCTGTTTTGTTTAAGGGCCTGCAGTGTCTGTATAACATCAACTGTGTATTTATATTCATTTTCTAGCTTTTTAAGTAGTAAAAGACCCAAGAGAACTGGACACTCAATTTCTACACATTCAGGCTAATGGCATTGGAAATATTCATGCCATACTTTGTGGACCCTACATATGACATTTGAAGGTATTATTGTACTTTCATAATGTTTTATACCTGTCTATTGGTTTTCATTTGAAATATTTTAAATCCGTCCTCTGGTTTAAATAGTTTGCATATGCCAGCTACAGTAGTCCAGTTGAGGACGTCAGGCCAGTAGATTGTGAACTAACTGCCTGGATATCTTTTCACTGTAAAACCTTAAAGGAAGCTTTGTTTTCTTCCTTATTTCCCCCTTTAAAATGATATGTATTCAGTGAACATTTAATAAATTGATGCAAATAAAATGTACATTTGTTTTCTTTCTTTCTTAATACATCCGCCACTTCATGTCTGGATCATTGGTGTCATTACAACAAAAATATCCCTTTTTTTTTTGGAAATGAATACTTTTATTCAGCAAGGAAGCATACATTTCACCAAAAGTAACAGCAAACCATTAACAATGTAACAAAATATCTTCATTTCAAATAAATGGCATTCTTTTGAAATTTGTATTAATTAAAATAAATAAATGCATAAATAAAAAATCCCAAAGGAAATGTATCACAGTTTCCAATAAATAAAAAACCCCAAAGGAAATGTATCCCAGTTTCCAAAAAAAAAAAAATATATAATGAAGCAGCACAACTGTTTTCAACATTAGCAAAATAAGAAGAAATGTTGGGCACCAAATCAGCATATTAGAATGATTTCTGAAGGATCATGTGACGCTGAAGACTGGAGTAATGATGCTGAAAATTCAGCTTTGATCACAGCAATAAATTACATTTTAAAATGTATTGAAATAGAAAACAGTCATTTTAAATTGTAATAATATTTCACAATAGTACCGTTTTATTTAATAGAACTGTAGCCTTGGTGAAAACTTCGGGTTATCTTTAGGGTTAGTAATGATAACTATTGGTTACTTTGATAAAACCATATTGGATGATCACTAATCTGATAGTCTCGATATCATTGGTGGTTACGGCCATTGTATTTTGAGACTGGGGTGAGAAAATATAAATTTTCTTTAAAGGTCATATGTTAAAAAATGGCAAAAAAAAAAGTTAAGACACAAATAGCACTGAAAATGTGCCAACTAAGTGATATGAGGGATATAACTATTTTCCGGCCAAGAAGGCCATAGCAGATACGAAGATGGCTCATTTTTACAGTCGGATGCAAGTGAAGATGAGATCAGCCACAAAGAAACATGTTCAGATGGACGCTTGCATGCACTTGAACAGATATGGGTGACAAACACATAAGCGAGCCGTTCTACATGTGACAGCTACATGCAGTGTTTCATTAGTGGATGTGACCCAGTTTGATGTGCGTTAGCTTCAGTGCAGAAGGAAGTGATGCAAGACATTAACCTCAAGAGAACGTGCAGTTCTGCACTGTAACATCACACAAAGCCTGGATCGCTGGTAAGCTCTTGTTGCATATTTTGAGGTGTCATTTGTGAGCTTTTGTTTAATATTTCTTGTGAGTGTGTGAATTGTATGAACCAGTGGGATACATGTAAGTAGGCCTGCAGTCCCAAAAATGCATGATGGTATTTGAGAGGAATTTAGAATACATTTCTGTTTGTGACTTGGGAGAGTTCGTATTTGAATGCACTTGAGAGGTGTTTTCATCTGTGTGGGACTCTCCTGTGTGTTGTGTGTGTGAGTATGAAGGCTTATCAGCTCACAGCAGCTTTCTGTCAGGGCTTCTCGGCCAAGCGGCTATCAGAAAGAACACACCACTGTCACCACAGGAAACTCACCCCTGTCTTTTCCCTTAGTCTGTTGTCATTGTGAGGGATTGTTCTGAGCCACTTTGACATTCGCCATGTAAGTGTTCACCTCATTAGTATGCATTTCATTTGTTTAATGTCACAATATTGTCAAAACTTTTAGGTCAGGTAAGGACTTTTTTTTATAGGAGTGTGCACCTGTGTTTCTGTTGTGAAACTGCTTTTTTTGTATCGGCGTCAGATCCAAATGGACCCTCTTGGAGGAAAAGATATTGAAGCAAACCCAACAGGTAGTGAGGAGATGCAACTTCCTGTTCTGACTCAACCTGGCCTCGGAGAGACCACGACAACAGTGACCACTATCTCTCAAACGGGAGGAGACTGGAGCACAGGACTGTTTGAAGTGTGCGGTGACACCAGCACATGTAAGAGGAAGTGCTTGAGAGAGGATTGATATAGGCATTATGAGATCTACGTAAAGTCACATTGTGGGTTACAAGTTGCTACTACAAAAAAAAACAAAAAAAAAAAAAAAATAATAATATATATATATATATATATATATGAAGCAGCACAACTGTTTTCAACATTAGCAAAATAAGAAGAAATGTTGGGCACCAAATCAGCATATTAGAATGATTTCTGAAGGATCATGTGACGCTGAAGACTGGAGTAATGATGCTGAAAATTCAGCTTTGATCACAGCAATAAATTACATTTTAAAATGTATTGAAATAGAAAACAGTCATTTTAAATTGTAATAATATTTCACAATAGTACCGTTTTATTTAATAGAACTGTAGCCTTGGTGAAAACTTCGGGTTATCTTTAGGGTTAGTAATGATAACTATTGGTTACTTTGATAAAACCATATTGGATGATCACTAATCTGATAGTCTCGATATCATTGGTGGTTACGGCCATTGTATTTTGAGACTGGGGTGAGAAAATATAAATTTTCTTTAAAGGTCATATGTTAAAAAATGGCAAAAAAAAAAAAAGTTAAGACACAAAAACAACTGAAAATGTGCCAAATAAGGGATAT